ACGGTGATCTTAGAAGACACGGCGGTTGAAACCAGTGGCCCATCAGCCAGGCGAATTTTGCCCCCCCCCCCCCCAGAGTGACATACGATTGTCGACTGAACACCTTCCAAGCTTGAGCGTTGAATGGAAATGGTTAGGTGCGCATGGGGCTTGAGTGTATGGAAGGAGGGTTACGAGCAGGTCTAGGACGTGTGTGACAGGAGTTGGAGAGTGACCGAGCTATCTTTTCCAATGACAATAGCTTGGCTCCCGGCTTTTTGGCACCGCGGTTACCCTTAGATACATATATTGTCGTTCGACATTTGAGCTTCTCCATATCGTACTGCCGACGAGATGAAAGGCTCCGGTACTAGACAGGATGCTTACCAGCTCGACCCTGCCTTCGAAGGTTTGCTTTCTAGGTTTGACGGTTGGGCGCTTGTGTGGTGACCGTACCAGGCACAGAGTGGAATGATACCAGGACTTTGATATTCAGACGGCTCAAATCTCTCACTGCTGTGAGATGATTTCTCCGGACTCGACATTCGGCACGAGATGCGAACCGAAGTGTTAGGATGCAACCCATCACCATGAGTTAGCACCAGCTATACTGCGAAATGCATGAAAACCATCTAAAACGTGGGCAACAGCTCATTGCTCTTACTCAGAGGATCACAATCGTGTCCCTTAAGCGCATTCCCAGCGTCCGGGAATGTACGGCCCGAGAGGGGTTCAGAAAAGGGTCCGGGTTTGCTCGGTCCGAAGTGAGGCCTTTGTGCCGGTTCCAGTTGGTGCAGTGACAGGTTGGGTCATGGCCACAAAAGCATTTCGGCCCACGCCGCGCAAGCATTCCATTCGAGTCGTCTCATCATTTACTCTCACGATGCTCCCCCAGAGAGACAAGGTCGAGTATATCCACACCCAGGGCGACAGATGGTAATTGAGGGCTTGACAAGCATAGTCAGCCAGCCTTGCCAACAAGCTGCCCCACTCAAACCCCGTTTTATTGGTCAAGACTGATGGATTGGTCAAATGTCACATCAACTCAGTATAATAGCGCTGACTTGACTAGTTGAATAGTGGTGATGGTCTCACTTTGCTTGGTTTGGGTACAGTGTTTGTCAACTAGGTTGCACGTACGGAGGCGCTGGGTCGAACAGATGCAACTTACACCAGATTCGTTACACTATAGTCTATAATCCAAGAGAGTAGTTTTGTTTCCTCTGTTCTTCGTTCGCCAAAAATTGTTCACACTCAGTGAGGAGACTAGACATGTCATGAGTCGAGTCCGCAAGAATGTTAGACACAGACTCAGCCTCACAACGGCTTTTGATCTCGTTGTATACAGCACTGATGGAATCGTACTCTCCATTCCAGCAACTCAAAATCACACACCCAAACTCCTTGTCTTCGTCCGTTGAAGGATACTTGTGATTGATAAAACTTCGAACCCTGTCAGGGGCATCAAGCTCGCTCAACGGAATGTGGCCGAAACGAATCATATAAACGCATGACGCGAAGGCAAATTGCTCGCTGATCGGTCCGGCGTTGGGAAGTTTGAAATATTTGTCGAGCTTGCAAAATGGCTCACTTGCAACAAGAAGCTGTTCGCCAACCTTGACAGACGCGTCGAAGTCGGCAAGGCGGACATTATCGTCTGCTGTGAGGAGAATATTGGATGGCCGTAGGTCGCCATGAACACGACCGAGCTCTTCGAGCCATGATAGGGCGCTTGCGATTTGCGTGATCCAGCGTGCCTTGGCATAAGTGCCCGGTGCATTCCGTACTGATTGGTGGTCGATGCGGGCTTGTAGTGTTGTTTCCACCCGCTCCATGAAAAAGCCTTCAGGGATGCAAAGGATGCATCGGACAATATTAGTGTGTGGGTGCTCCATCAATAGTGTATGCGTTAACTTTTCATTCGCAATTCTCCCGGCGCTTTCTACGATTTCATCTGCTTGGTCGGATGCGGGATTGTTGAAGTTCGTGGGGCATTTGAATACCACATGCTTGCTGATGATGAAAACCTGGCCACCGGCTCCTCTGGCGACTAAGCGCTCAACGGTAAGGGAACCGAATGGGACACGCAAAGAGGCGCTCATGGTACGAAGAAATGAGTAATATCAGCGTTAAGGTAACTGAGGACCTGTCTCCAAGCTTAAGATTCTGGGACTTGGAGGGGCAATGTAAAGACTAGCCCAGGTTGTGTTTAGCTCTTATATTCCTGGGGCAACATAATGCATGGTATGTGTATGGATCCATCTGCATGCCCTGATTGGTGCTCACAAATACACTTGGTTTCCCTGCGCCGACCCCCGCTACTCGTGTTCCTAACCTTGGCCTAGTCCTCCGAACAGTCCGGGCATGGATTTTTCTTCGACGACATTCCCAAGCTATAGTTGTCCGTGGGGTTGGAACAGTCAGACCCTCTGTCTTTGGCCTCATTGCATTGAACGATGTATGAAGTCTGTTCGACTTCATGTCCACACGAGTGCTTTACTCTAGGATGCATTCTTTGACACATGGTGTTGACTTTCTATGAAGCGAAGGTACAGCATGTTAGCATGGTATAAGGTCTTTATGAGGCGTGCGGGCTTGAATACCTAGTGTATGAGCAGTAGGAATTGGCTTTTTGTCGGGGTTGTTGGATGTCACAAAGCAATACACCAGTTTTGAGGGCGACGCCGACTTAAGTACCGTGGACTTTCTGATTGCCTAGCAGAAGGAAGGCCACAGTCAGTCAGCGTGGCCGCAAATGCAGAGCTGCTGTTGGGAAGTGGCAAAGTCATGCAGCACGCCCGAAAGAAATGTCACACCTATGTCTAGCGATGAACTGCTGCACGACTCAATGCCAAGACCATAGTCAGAGGCATTTCGAGTGGAGTACTAAGAAGTGTGCACTCCATTGGACCAGGAATAGGTCCAGCTTCAGGCCAGGATATTTGGGAGCGTTTGATGGGTTTCGATGGCGCTCGTGATGCCGTTTGCAGAGCTCTCTCCTTGAACTTAACGCTCGCTACCACCACCTCCCTCGCGACGGTGACGGACGTCGAATCTGGCCTGAGATCCATCGCGTCGGGATGTGCGCAGAGTCGCCATGCGGTGGATCGTGCTAGTGCTAGTGCCACGTAGCGCGTTTCGATGTTTCTCGACAGCGCTCAACCCAACGACGTCGAATGATTCTGCACACAAACAAATGTCGAAAATTTGAGCCGCAAACCCAACTCCACTACAGTTCGTCGTGTTCCCTATGGCGAATACTTGAGCAGGAACATCTTATCCTTACGGACCCGATTCGGCTTCAACTGCGTTCGCGAGGATAGGTTTGCAGCAGCCGCACGATGGCTTCGCGCCCGTTCTGGGCGGCCAACACTAACAGTGTCCGGCCCTCCTTGTCCGCCACCTCGGTGTTGGTGCCACAGTCGAGGAGAAGCCGCACGACGGTCTCGTGCCCGTTCTCAGCGACTTACAACAGTGACGTCCTGCCCCATTTGTCTGCCGCCTCGGTGTTGGCGCCGTGGTTGAGGAGCAGTTGCACGACAGCCTCGTCCCCCTTCTCAATAGCCCACAATAGAGACGTTCTGCCCCATTCGTCCGTTGCCTCGGTGTTGGCGTCGCGGTCGAGGAGCAGCCGCACGACGGCCTCGCGCCCGTATAGGACGGCCAATAACAGCGGCGTCCTGCTACATGAATCTTTAGCGTCAATGTTAGTAACTTGGTCTGTACTTTCCATGATGCTTCCCAACGCCCCTACGACTCCATACCTTGACATCACGTGTACTAGACTGGTCCCTTCTGGTGGACAGTCATCAGAACGCTCCTCTAATATTCTTTAAATACACACCCATTGTTCTGTTAGAGGGTTTGATGGTCCTGTGAAATAGCCCACAAGATCCTCTTGTGAGACACTTCCAGCATCACTTTGCTTCATGTGTGCCACCCATGAGGTCGTGGCATAGTGCAGGAAAGGAAAGCCACCACGCGTGTAGTCTGTTGACTGACGGATTTCCTCCATTGACAAGTAGTGTACAGTAGCCATCCAGTACGGATATGTGTGCACGGGTGAAGCGTTCGTCTTCCTCCACATTCCGGATGACCCTAATAGCGTATATTATTCTGTACACGTACCCAACCTGGACGTTCGGGACGATGATGAGAACGGGCTTCATGGCACAGCTGTTGCACAGATCTTCGCCTTCATCCTTCGGGCCCTCCTGCGGAACCGCCTCCTTCGTCCTGGCATGACGCTGCCGCGGCTCTTGGTACCTGGGCAGTAGAATACGACGACGTACTGAAGAGTATCCCCAAAACGGTGCGCAAGGGCAAGGAACCGCGCGCCTCTCCCTACCAATCTCAACGCTGGCAGGGATTTAAGCGCTCGCCGATTCGGACTCGCTCTCGGTGCAAGCAAGCCGACAGCAACACAAAGCATCGAAGCGATAGTGGTGACGACGAAGGAGTGACACCTCCTTCCCCGACTCCGACGCGATCGATTCATACCGACGTAAAAGCTGTCACTAAGTCAATGAGGGCGGGTTCGGACAAAAAACAAGCGCAACATGGCAAACGAGATCAGCAGCATAGCCAACCAAAACAGCAGAATATACAAGATCGTCCGTTTTGCACTCCGCAATGCCTCCCAGGAGTTTGCCAATGTATGAACACTGCCAGAATTTCCGGGACCATGGACATCAGCACCTCAGTCGACTGGAGTTCCTCCAACTCATCCGTATCCAGCTCGCTGAAGACCGCGGCCGTGATGCTGATGCCGTACCGCTTTACCTGTCCGGCTCGATCGGTTCACTCTTGAGAGTCTCGGCCTGGCCCGCCTGCAGCATGAGAACGAAGTGTATGATCGACTCCACTCGATCTAAGGAAAACATGTTCCGGTACGCTTGAGACGTATAGATCTGGTCCTGCCATTCTACTTATGATAGTGGCATTTACAAGCACTTCTTGTTCCTTAGCTGGGCCGGCCGGCCTTTGTTCGACTCCGCCAACCAAGCCATCAGCACAGACGTCGTTGGCATGGCTGCCAAGGCTCACAAGGACTTGCACAAGCTGGGCATCCTTCACGGCGATGCGGAGCCGCGCAACGTATTACGCGACACAGTGAGTGGCAATATCATGGTAGTGGATTTCGAGCGGGTAGACTTCCGCTGTCGCCCACCTCTAGGCTCGCTTAGCTCAAACGGTCAAACCCAGAAGAGAAAGAGGGGGGGAGGATGTTAGACAAGCGACGGAAAGGCGGTTTTACGAAAGAACTAGAATCCGTCGTAGAACGTGTTTCAAAGTGTATAAAACAGCACGCTCAGAGGCTGCTATCTATGCCGCCAAGATGATGCAACGTATCTAAGGAATGACCAAGAGTTGGGCTAATGTTAAAGAAAATGGACCAAGGAGAAACTAAAGCAAAGAGACCACCACAAACTAATCACTCTGAAGCCATGAATCTCCCCGTCTTAGCGCTCTTTCCTCTCTAGTACGGGACACCCATCCCTCCACCTCGGCCAAAGCACCTGAGGGCGAGTCTCTGTTTGCTAGGAGGAAGGAAAAAATGTCGGCAGGACTGAATTCCAGCTCCGGCACAAGGGCTGCAAATTGACCTGCCAGTCTCCGGACTTCCTCATTGCTATCTTCTCGGTTGTCCAAGTCAGACAGCTCCTCTTCCGATTGTTGAAACACAGTGTTGAATATCTTTCTGGTCACGTCAGCATCTGCAAGCTGAAACTCGATCTTCTTGTCAACGCGGCCAGATCGGATCAAAGCTTCATCAAGATGCTCTATGTGGTTTGTCGTCATGATGAGGACGCGCCCCTCTTGTGATGCGACGCCGTCGAGAACATTAAGGAGCCCAGACAGCGAAACAGCCCCGTGCGACTTCGATGACCTTCGTGAATCTTCCGATCGGGAGTCAAAATCATCGGCGTCGGATACACGTGATTGGGTTGTACCGACGGCATCAACATCCTCAAGCAGGACAACACAGCGTTGAGGAAGCTCCCTGAACAAGGCACTGAGTTGTCCATCACTCATAGCAGCAAGGCTGAGAACATAGATGTCCAGTCCGAAACAACCGGCGACGGACATGCTAAGACTGGATTTTCCGGTTCCAGGACGGCCGAACAGCAGGTAGCCTCTTCGGTATGGCAGCCCGCGGCTCGCGTACCAGGACCGAGCTTTGGGGTCGAGAAACGAGTGGACATCCTTGAGGAGCGTCTGTTTGAGCTGTTCGTTCATGATAACGGTATCGATCGGTCTGAGGTCTCGGGTAGTAGTTCGTTTCCAGCCGTTATTATAGTTCTCGAAGATCGAAGTTTTGTTTTCAGAATACTTCAGATATTCGACGCGACATTCTTCCATAAGGTCCCTCAGAACCTGTGAAGAGCGCCCAACGCACGAAACTGTCATTGTGTTGCGTGGAAATAATGATGCTCTGTCTTGCGTGCATCGTAAAGTGAGACGGTGCCCCCGATACCAGAAGTACAGCGGTTCTCCCCAAGGTGTAAACCGAAGGTTCTTTTTAGCCGTGATATCGGGGTGGAGCTGGGCCATGCTTCTTCCTCGTCTGCTTTCTACAGTAACAAGCGAGGAGCTGGCATCTTGGGAAAAGGCTTGGCCGGAAACCCACGCATCCAACATGTCGTATGCCTCGTCGGGATCGTAGACATCGGCCCTTGAAGCTAAAGGATGTTAAATATGTGTTACGGGTTTGTGAAGGGTTACTAACTGAGGTAGGTATCGACGAATTCTCCCACGGTTCTACACAGGAACTTGCCGCAAACCATCAATATCCCGCAGATACACAACAAACCGGCGTAGCCATCCATGGTTCCGTTGAGAAGCTGTTGGAGTGTCACAGTGAGGCCGGTAAAACCGGGGAAGAAGATGTCCATGACGAAGAGATGGGGAGGAGGAGGAGGAGGATGCATGACGTAGAAAGAGTGTTCTATGTATTATGTTCGACAATGTTGGCTACCGCTTGCAGGAGTTTGAGCAGGGAACTTCGACAGATTTCTCGCATTCAGACAAGCACTGACATGAATCGTGGTTGCATTGCTGATTCTTCAATAGTAGGAGATCCAGATTTATATTCGTGAGGCTGTGATCAATTTGTTTGCAGCAGAGATTCCATATTGCATTGATGTGTCTTGATGCAAGCCTTAGTAGGCACTTGTCCAAAGTTGATGCCTATCATGAATGCATGCTGGTGGATCAAAGAGCAATGTTAGCCAAATCATGAAATAATGGTTCCGCAAATCTACTATCACGAAACTGTGATATGTAGCATTGTGACAGAACCTGGGATACCCCGCTTAGGTGAAACTCGCCGCATAAATACATACATAGTTCATTACGCCCCAGCTAAGCTATCAGGGCTCAGATGATTATCTATGTACACGATCTCCACCTTCGCTGCGTGTAGCTCTTTGATCTGCTTGCCCATCGTCGGGAGCAGACTTTTTTCGTCGTTCTCAACGGGCTTCACGCGTTCCTTGGCCAGGGTTGCGGCTCGAGTAGTGGTCGCCCGCCGGCCATTGCCAGCAGTCTCGGTCGCTCGCTCGGTCGCATCTTCGGTGATCTCTTGGTGCGTCTAGTTCAGTCGTGATTTCGCGGAAGGTTTTCGCACTCTTCGCGATGCCAGGTCCTCGTCGCTTGCTGCCGTCACCTCCCTCGCAACGGTGATGGACGTCGAATCTGGCTCGAGGTCCATCGCGTCGGGACGTGCGTTGGGTCGCTACGCGGCGGGTCGTGCTAGTGCCACGTAGCGCGTTTCGAAACGTCTCAATGGGCGCTCAGTTCGACGACGTCGATTAATTCTCCAAGCAACAAAGTGGTTCTTCTTCAAGACCCTTCCTTCTGTGAATACTCGCCGCATACAATCATTACTCAGTTAACCGCATAGCCGGGCCAGGATTGCCCTACAAGGGATAGATGCCACTCGTTTATATAGATCTACTGCAGGCCCAGCAAATCACTCTGGGCAATACAACCATACTTATCCCCATCCATTATGCCACTGCTGACCATGCTGAAGATCTGTCACATTGCAACAAACATGACAAAGTGGGTCCTTATTTCGTGTCTCTAGCATGGATTAGTGACTCTATCCTTCTTTCTTGGGCTCGTTACTAGATCGGCGCTGAGGAACGCCGACGAAATTACCTGTCATGTCGGAATAACTTATTTCCACGACACAGCCTAAGCCGACGTTGGGCGCCAGACTGCCTTGACACAACCTGCACCCGGTTCACTGTATCCCCTCCTTTCGTCATCTCGAACAGCATGGCTTCGACCTCTACCACGCAGTCAATACCTACTTTACGGAGCTCGATCATCGAGCGGGGATACTTTGTCTCTGAGGACCTGTCTCTTGGTGAACATGTCAAACAAATGGAAGATAATGCGACGCCCTTCGCATCGGCCTCTGGCCTTCAGTTCGCTGAAACCAACGTCCTTCGTCACCCTGTAAGTTGTTACGGTCACTATGTGTCCTGCCAAGCTAACTAACCCAGATTATCCGACCTCTTCTCGAATCCCTCCTCGAAACATCAAGTCTAGGACTTTACAGGTCCTTGGGCCCCTCCCCCTTCGATTACGTATTCAACAGCGACCCAGGACATGAGGTGGAAATCATCATGGTCATGATATGGAGCCCAGGTTCCAAATTCACATGCTGGGCTGGTTCGCATCGTCACTGGCTTGAACCTATTGAAGCAGCAAACTCTCTGCTGCAGGTCACCCGCGCACGCCTGCAATCCAGAGGCAGTACGCCGGTTGAGACAACATTTGAGAAGGGTGGCTTGTAGGTTTGGCCTACGCCCGTACCATATTTTGCTGACGAGATGTACAGCGCTGTGATTGATGCGAGGACTGCATTTCAAATCACTGCCGGCACGGCCATCACGTTTGCATTCGGGAAAGAGGATGCAGCCAAGCTGTGGAGACCAATGCAGTTGCCACGATCTCTCGAACACCACGTAACGAGCATGGAAAGTCGAACACTCCGGATCAATGTAACATATGCTGAAGAGGGCTGATCTTGCACGCCAATTATCGATCGGAACTGATTACTCAAGTGGTCCACTACACTGACGAGAACCTTGACACCCACAGCACCTTTGTTCATGATGCACTTTCGTAACTATCACCCGACGACGGCAAAAAGGCGTGAGAGGACTGCAATCCGTTCTCGAATGATACTGGTTGAAGTTGTTGCTCTAACCCATACCAAGGAGGAATTGTAGCGCTGTGAAAGATTGGAGCTTGGATTCGTCCGGGGAGCAAGCCGAACTGCCCTTCCAACAACGAATAGTCTGTACCAGGTGGAGGTTCGGCACCACAGATGTGTGTGCTAGAAACCAGACAGTTTTCAAGTTGGCTCGAAATGGTTGGTGGAGGTGTTGGATGCATAGATGCGAACAGACTACTCTGTTCAGGATATTCTATTTTCAAATCAGAATTTGATGGCATCGGGGATTTGAGCGCAGCTCACCATGCCCGTCACTGACGCTGTAAGCAGTGCGTAGTCTCTTGTGCGTGTGTTCTTGGTCCGCGCACTTTGCCTCTGCGTCTCGTGCACGTTTACGAGAATCTTCCTTTCTGGGAGTCTTACTGTCAAGGTCCAGCATCTCGTCTAACTTTTCAGCTGCCTGCCGGTGCAGCTGGGTGCAGCGCTCTTTTCTGTACTGGTCCCTCCATTGTTCGTACGACGTGGCTTTTGCCTTGCACATATGTGCTATATATTTGCGCACTTGGACGAACGAATCTCGGCAAAAGACGCAGATTTCGTAACATGCAACGTCTAAACGTCACGTCAGTACGTTTGCTATCCAAGCCAGGAGTCTTCTTTACGTGTTTCATAGTGTCGGATTTGAGCCTGCTTTGTTTTGAATGCTTCCTTTCGATCGCAAATGGGATACGGACAAATGAGTCCATCAAGGTCGGCGATGTCATCCCGGTCGGTGTCTTCGTCGTCATTATCGTCGAAGTCCCGATCATCCTCATTGAGGCTACCATGACATGCCTGGTTTTGCTCATCAAGGGGAGGCAAATGGGCTTGCACCTCTCGTAGCCTTGCCATCAAGGCATGAGCCTCGCGCTGAAACAACGATTAGCACTTTGTCATACGAAATATCATTCCACAGACCTGATAAGCGTCTACATGGTCGCGCAAGGATTGGTGTTTGTCAAAGACCGCGAAGCAAGTCTGACATTGAATTTTCTGAGAATTTTCGCCCATAATTCGAATATTGCTAAACGAGATTTGAGGTGATGGAACCAGGAAGAAGCAAGACGATGGTGAATCAGAGAGGAGGTTTCGGATGGCTTTCAGTGATTGGTTAGGACATTGGGTCCGCTGTCCTCTCGTGCATAAATACCGGCGCGTAACTCATGTCTTTCTTACCAAGTACTCTGCATTCAACATAGTTATCAACAATCCTTGTCCCTACTCCGGTCACCACGACAATGGCCACGTGCACGGAATGTGGCGGCAAGGGAGTTGTCGGAACATACGTGTGTACCAAATGCAACGGCTCCGGCACGAAACGCCAACTGTACCCTGTCACAGAAACTTACTACCAAGGTTCGTGTCCCAAGATAAGCGTTCTACTGCTTTTACTGTTGCTGACATTGCCAGTTACGTGCAGTTCGACACCCGATGCCACTAGCCATCACTGATGCACACCTCAGTGTGGCCCCAATTACATTTTGCCTCGAATCGCCCAGTTGCGCCTACTGAGATCATGTTTCATGCTCCTTCGCTCTCCCCAACGCAAGCATTGAAGGTTGCCATCGATTACCAGGCTGCGGCGCGAGCCACTCTGAGAACTATGGGTTTCTGCGAGACCACGACCCACTGAAAGACTGGTCTTGCTCGTTCCGCTCGGTTCGCCTCGTTTGCCGTCTTCCATAGCTTGAGAACGGACGTCACCGAGATATGTCCTGGGGTTAGGGTCGGTGTGGGGATGGATACCAAAGCCTGCAAGCATGAATGCATGCTGTTTACAGAGACGTTGATCACGGATTCGTGCTGTGGTGGAATATGGATCCAGCCAGGCCATACATGTTTCTAGCTGGGGCTCAGATTGAACCAATGAGGGTGTTTTTGTGCCGTTGGCACAGACCACTAGTCTCCAATCTGGAGGGCTCCAACACGGAGAGAGTGAACGAGATCGCATGACCAGCGGTTCTCAACTTGCGTGCCCCACACCATCCACCCCTATCCACCAGGGGCATCCTTAAATCCACGTGTGATAGGTTTATGATGGATAGAGTGACCAACTGCAGCTGATCCTGAAAGCATGAAAGTGTGTCTGCAGGGATATTGGATATGGAGTCATGATTCTCTAGACTTGAAATCCAAAGGTACGATCTGGGACTGATGCACTGTGTTCCTTAGCGTCTCGCCTACGGCCGCAGTCTTACCATGGATTAGGGGCCCGAAAGCACGAATATATGCTGTCATCAGGGATATGGATAACACACTAGCTGTATTGACATAAGCCAGGCTAATCCATTTTTCGCCGTAGGCGGTCTCCAAGAATTGGCCGCGCAGAGACGGCGCCTTATTACATCACACAATATAGCTCGGTGTGTGCGGCCTTGCGCCGCTTCAGGCCCTTTGGCTGAGGGAAAATGGCGATTTGCATAGCTCTTAACATATCTCGTCATGCCCTTGTATCGCTACCGCATGCCTGCCGGTTTGTCGGTCGAGATGCACCATTTTCCGACGAGGTTTGGCAAGCAGCATGGTGGAGTCCCACTATCGTTTACCCCCGATTAGGGATGTCTTTCACACGCAGTTCCTGCAATGCAGACGAGATCTGAGTACTACGATCAGTTCAATTTGTTTCCTCATTTGCTTGATCCACCAATAGGCACCAAACGATTTGACTTCCGTTTACTGGAGTGTTCGTAGGAAAGCGAGCGTTGTTGGCTTGATCTGATATTAATGGGGAAAATCTAATATTATCTCCATTTGTACTTCTTAAGCATGGATCTAGACTGTATAAATGTGCCTCCACTGCTTGACGTCGAACCTTGCGGCATGTGTATCAAGATGGCAAGAGCTTACGGCAATGCTTTCTTGAGCTACGGTCTGCAAGGTGGTGTATAAGACCCAACACCCCGTTCGGCCTGTTCCTCATGGTGATGTGTCTTGGCTTCATCACGCAAGCAATATCAGCGGCCGTCGCTCAGTCACGCAATAGTTTCCAGATTTACTTCACACAAACATCATCACCGAAAACATGGATTCTCCCAGCGTGCTCCTTTACAGGACTGCAAAGCTGATGATACACCGGACTGACAACATCACTCTGAGCACGGAAGGCAAAGAGCTTCTGTACGTCACGCCTCACGGCTTCATCGGCGGGACAGGCTTGGTATCAGCATATCTGATGCAACAGGATATGATGGATGAGCGGCTTGAAATCATCCATCATTCCACCAAGCCCATTTGCAATCACGCGTGGCACTTCCAAACCAGAGTCGGCAGCTTGTAAGTGTCCCGCCCGCGGTCTGGACAATGGCCTAACTTGCAGAAGTCAAGTCACTTTTACGTCGCAATGGCAAGAGTTTGCTCAGTTGCGCAAGTACGTATCCCGTGAAGGACCTCGATACATAGCAACCACAAGCTTCCCCCGGACACCTGGGGAAGTGATTGTCCAAATCCTTCCTTCTCAGCGAATAATGGGCAGAGCAGCTCAGACATGGTTCAGTCACCGGGACTCGCCCATTCTATGCTCGATAGACATTGATATCCAAGAACACGATCGAATCGTTGTTTTCCAGCCACAAAATCGCAGACTAGCGCCAGTGCTATCTCAGGCCTTGCCAGTCGCAACGACTGCTTCAGATGAATCAGCTGCGCAGACAAACTTGTGGTCTGTCACCAAGTCTGATTATGAAGCCGTGATGTCGACGGAGGAAGGACCCTGGATGAAGATGGAAGAAGACCATGTTCTTGAGATCACACCACCTTTGACAACAACCGACGGTGATTCTTGCGAGGCATACACCGTAGCCGGCAATCGAATTATCGATAACGCCGACTCTTCTGCGGAAGCAATTGAGCAGTGTCGTGTACACCCGCTCGGAGCACGCACGCAACAAGATCCTCAGAGATATGATCAGAAAATCATTCCTGCAACATCAGGACTACACACAAGCGTTGGTCATCCGCAAGGCTCCCCGCGTCGCGAGGATGCCGAGGATGATAGGTGCATCGTTGCCAGGCCCTGGTAGCAATGTGAGCAGTCTCGTGATTTATTTGTTTCTATATGAGTGGGTTTTGAAGCCGTTGACGGCGATGGGAGTCAATATGAGGGTGATGCAAGGGCAAGGCTGGTCGGTTCAAAGTGTATTGCTTTTCGATTGTACGAAGCAGGGCGTATCAGAGTGATGCCTGTTTGTTTGAAGTGGAGTGGCGTGTGAGGAAGCACAGACCGATGCACCAAATCAATGGTACAATGCAGCCTTTCGTTCTCATATCCAAAGCTTCTTGGGCGTTCTGGCTTTGTGCATGGACGGGCATTGGTGGAAAGGGCAGTGCCAAGGGGGAAATAGCAGCGTCCTCCAGTGCGTCCGACCAACCCGATAAGCCCGGTCCCTGTCGGCCTCGGCGCGTACCGTACGATGGCCCAAGTTAGTAACCCAAAAAAGGACATGCCAAGTGACCACGAAAGCCATGTGCAGAGATATCCGACGGCTAGCCTCGCTTATGGCGCATCAGCGCCAAATCGAGTGCAGCGAGCGGGTTCCCCATTCGTTTAGTGAGGCGTTCTGATGACACGCTCTTCGCACTTTCGGGGCTAGAGGCCCTCGACCAATCAAAAGATACTTTTACCCTAACCTTGGCCATCTTTCCTGTCCTCAGCCTATTTGGTTGATTGCATTGGAAGGCTGGTTGTACGTAGTACTACTCACGCGTGGTTGTACGGCTATCGTGCCCCACATAGCCCAGGAAGTGGGCGATACTTGATCATTATCTTCACAAAGCTACAGTGATGCCATCACGCACGCCTACCTATGTCTTCATACCTCCACTCGCTAGTCCTTGCATCCGCCCCAGCCGGAAAGACAGGGCGCGATGATCTAACAGGAGAGTCCCCGGTCGTGACCCTTCGCTTCCGGCGATGATATTCCTCGTCCACAGTCTCCTCGTCACTCTCGTGAGCAAATGATCGCTTCCTGGTTGAGCAACGCCCTATAGCCCCGCTTCCGCCTCGCGCATATCGACCCGCCTGCTTTTTATCCCCTGATTCAGCAGGCATGCTTGTCCTTGTCGGAGAACTAGATTTGTCCACTACTTGGGCATAAGAGAGCTTTGGTGAGGAATGTGACGTGCAAGGCGACGTGGTCTGTACCGGACAGGGGATTGTGGTTGACCCAGGGTCTTTCGAGTGAGGCGTGGCGGCAACGGTGGAACCGTCGGTCGGTCGCGGCGACGTGGAGTGTAGCCCGGATGACGATCTTGGAGTTGTTGGCGATTTTGGTGATGTGCTTGTCGATTCGGGCGACTGTTCGGCGGAGGTCCCCCCTTTTTCTTCTATTGCTTCCGCTAACAAGACTGATTGTGCATCGTACGCACTCATGGATGATAATGGCTGAGATTGGTGCTCCGAAGTTGTCTCATCCGTATCGTGACAAATTGTTCCTCTCTGCAAAGTATGACTCCACGGGTCGTCCACTTGTTCGTCCGAGCCAGGTGAGGAGCATAACTCGGGGGGGAATATGTTCTCGTATTCCCATGGATCGCCTCCATCTTCGGAAACATCATCTCGCGCATCGCCATCGCATCGGGCATCGGGTCCGTTTCCAACCGTGCTAGTATCACCGGCGGTGGTGACGCGCATCAGCTGCTTATCCTCGGCCATACTCCAACCGAAGATAACACCACACACAAACTGTATGAAGCTATCCATACTGCCAGTCTGGCCGATTTTGAGCGCCGCATCGCGAGTATTTGTAGACAAGAAGTGCTTTCGGGAGGTGATGGATGAAAGAGCGATGTCGCGGATGAAATTGTCGAGATCTCGGCGGCGCTCTTCGTGTTTCGCAGCGAGAAGTTCCTCGAGGTGTCCACGATTCTCGGCGTGTTTTGCAGCAGCAATGATGTCGGCAAAATAGGCGTCCTCATCGAGGAGTGGGACTGCGATCGTATTGAACCGCCGCCAATAGTCACCCCATATCATCTTTGGGTCGTGAAAGTCCGGCTTAGCTATTCGTCTCCAGGCCTTGTTTTTCTCGTATGTCATTTTCGGCGGCTGGAAGGCGGGCATTGTGTGATTCTGTCTTGGGTGCTGATTGTGGCCGAATCGCCGGTCGGGCGGTCGAGTCCGTCAGGTGTACGGGCGGGTGGATTAAGTAGATGGTAATGTGCGAAGCTCGATGCGTGTATATACGTAGAAGGTGAATGTGTGGAGAGAAAGGATGCCGCGGTAAGATAGATGGTCGGCTTGGAGGTTGGGCGGTGGAGAAGGTATTATTTTCAAGATCGGGGGCTTCTTGTACATGAGGGATGACACGGTCCAATCATCAGCCAGCCTTGGCACTAACTGCAACCCCATTCGATGAACGAGCGCACGCTCTCTTCTTGGGTGCAGGCGCTAAACTGGCGCCACCTGTCTCCGGTCCGATACATGGGCGCAGGTACCTTGCCGGGCATTTCCTTGACAAGGTCTCGATGATTACTTATAACACCCTACCTTGGCCTGTACCAGAATCGTAAAGGACCCCCGAAGCTATACTGCCTCACCTGCTCGCCTTCATTATCAGGATGAGTTCCAGTAGCAGCGAATCAACTCAGGCTTTCAGCGACTCTGTCGATCTGCAGCGGCGCATAGACCAGGTCAAGGCAGAATACCGAGAGAACAGCCAATTGGCCGGGCAAAGTGAGACCTGCACGGCAACGAGAGCAACAACATTGCCAACTCCTGGCAGTCTTGAGCTCACCGAAGTTATTGAGGCTTTTTCCAACGCATCCCTCGCCTCGTTGCCTGATGCTCGTCTCATTTTCGCCTGCCGCCACCAACCACGCAACACTGACTCTGCCATGGTTCCTTTGCCGCACAAAATTGGCGGGTGGAATATGGTCGGTGTGATACAGCGCACGCAGGACGTGAACTTCACTCTGTGCTTTCCTCTTAACGACCATCCCTGCGACCCGAGACCTACGCGGTTCATACCTTTGCAAGTTCGGTGCAGTGTTTACTACAATCCTGCCGACGACGACTGCGTTCTGATCAACAAATCGTGTGTGGATTTCTATCTCACCAGCTTATGTTCTCCAACGAGCCGCCGTCGCCTATCGTATGACCAGACCGAGGTGATCAAGCCCGGTATGTGGAGAATTTCGGTGGAGTTTAAGAACCTCACAGCTGAGCAACATGTCGCCGACTTCTTGATGCAGCGGAGGCAATTCACCATCACTTTACATGAAGGCCTGCCTGGCTATTCAGCTTCCGCCAAGCGCCTTGCGTCCGGC